CCTCTTGGAAGGCCTTGAAAACCTGCAGTCTGTTCTTTTGAAGATCCTAATGAGGCTAAATCTTCACTGAAGAGATTTGATTTTTGGAAACTGCTAAAAGCCAGTCAGAGCCAAGTTTAGTGAATAAGATGAGTGATCAAACTAGGTGGCACTGTTTTGGTTCAAAATGATATCTGATCATAATACAATGAGGCAGATTTTCTTATATGATTTGTAAAATTGACTCTAAAGGAAATGCCAGATGGGTGAAAGGAGTATGTGCAATGAAGTAAACATATTTATTTTCCCCAAGTATCTTCCTTGAATGATACATTTGAACACATAAACTTGCCAATATAAGGTTTACTTTAATAACCTACAACTCATAAACAGAAGGTTCCTTGTATATGGTACCTACTCTGTCATTAAGGGGAGGGACTGTCACTAAACCAGAGGTGCCATTGTATGCAAAAAAGAGCACAGGCTTAAGGAGACTGGTCTGGATTAGATCTGAATATGATTCCTTACTGCCTGAGTGACTTTCAGAAAGTCACAAATTCTCTAAGATGCTCAAACTGATCTAAAACTCAATAGGCCACAACTATTATTAATAACCTCGGCAAACTCAAGGTAATTTTCTGACTGTAGGTGGCTTAATATGATAGAACAACAGATACACAGTCATTCAGGTGATAAGGAGTTAGTTCACTGACAGTACTGATAATTAATACACTCGTACTGACAGATTCACAGCTTGCTTTTTAAAGTACGTACAGTCTGTAAAGAGTACAGTGTTTACAGTGACAAACACTATGTATTTTTAAAACAAAGGACACATGTTCACCAGCAGCACTCGTACCATACTGACCTTTCTACCACTGTCTAAATGTATCAGGCCCTCTCAAGCCTCATGTCTTTGCATATGTTGTCTCTTCTAACACACCATTCCTGCCCTCTGGTGTGACAAAACCCTACCATTATCCTTCAAAATCTAGCTTAAAAGTCACTTCCATATGGAACCTTTTCTGCTTGCTCCAGAGAGTGGCTCTGTCCTTCATACTGTCATGGCATGTGGCTCCTCTCTCTGTAATGCTTCACACATTTGCATTTCTCTTTCCATGTCTACTTCCTCCACTAGGCTTCAGCACTGAGAGAGGAACAATATCCCATTTCTTGTACTTATAACACTTAGCACATCTTTTGGCACATGATAGGAACCTGGGAGATGTTCCATGAATGAATGCTTTAAATACACTTTGGAAACAACAATTTAAGGCCAGATAGCTGCCTTTAGTGCACTATTACCAGCAATCACATTCATTTTTCCTGACTTCAAATAAGAGACACGATAACTTATGAAGGCCAGAGACTGGCTTTAGAAGATGCAGCATATAAAAGTTTGCAAACACTACTGACCTCATCTGTATTCTGTGCCCACACAATAGGACCACCAAAGAGGCATTTCTCAGCCTTTTCCTAGTCCAGTACATCTGAGGGATGCACTGTACTCTCATAAGGAGTTCATTGTAGACAACTGAGAAGGCCTAGCCAAGTTCCCACAGCCTGCCAGTGCTCCCTAGATACCAGGGTGAAGGGCCTTCTCTGAGCCAGCTACTCCACCAAGGTAGCAGAAAATCTCCAGGGCCTGTAGTGTGCACAGAGTGCCTGTTTAATACCATCTACTCCCAGATCCACACCTCCCAGCAAGGTCCCAGAATCAGAATTTGCCAATTCTGCAGTTCTAATAGTTTGTCTATGAATGGGGTTCCCTACCTAGAATATATATCCTACTGGCAGCTGTTAGGAAGCCTTAAGCATTCAAGGAAAGACTTCTAGGTGTCTGTTTCAGCAAGTCTTAACCTGTGTGACTAAAAAGTAATATGAAAAGCAGCTCATGATCAACTAGTTCTGTGCCACGTGGAAACAGGCAGAGGGTCAGCTGGCAGCCCTGCACAACAGTGTTGGCACTTCTGAATCATTCTGGACGACTGCAGTTTTCAGAGCCTTGGCAGCCCTATCGTGGGTTCAAACTCACCGAGATCTGCAAGTAGGAAATGAGATCTAAAGCCATACCCCTGCCTTGGGAGCCACCACACCATAACAACGACTATTTCTATGACAGATAATCTGCAAAGACAGTCACACTTTGCTTTAGTGTCACGTTTTTCCATCTCTCAATAGAATGACTACTCTGCAGGCAGGAAGAGGATGGGAGGAAAGAGAATCAAGCTGTAGACCACCAGGAAAGCAGTGGTTGAAAATAGTAACTCTAAATTTCTATTAATGACACTAGAGATTATTCACTCCTCATTCCACAAATATTTACTGACTCAGCCTCTATTCCATGTACACAAGTTATAATAATGTTAGAGTCAGCCTTGGCCCAAGAGAGCTTAAAATTGAGTAGGGGAGAGATAAACATACAAAGAAACACAAGAGTAAAAATAAGTGCTATGGTGAAAAAGTATGACACTACAGAGATTGTACAATCAGGAAGCAGGAGGCCTGGCTGGGAACTTGCCTCAACAGGTTTCCAGACAGTGGAGATACCAAAGATCAATAGGAGTTAACTAGGTCAGGAGGAACAGGAAAAATTCCTGGTAAAGAGAACAGTTTGTGTCAAGGTCCTAGGGTAAGAGAGAAATGAACACTTAGCTCAGAATTAGAGACAGGAAGCAAGAGAGCAGCACCAAAATCTGAGGCCCCAACACAAGGCACTGCTCTGTCTGCACCCCTATGCTTCTCTCTAAATGTCTGGAAGCTCTGGCGTGGGACAAGACTGAAACAGAATGTCAAAAACTAGATGTGTCCAGAAGACATGAAATAACACCAGCTAAAAAAAATATGACTTGCCAATATTACCTGCCCAATGTCTTCTCGAAACATCTGTAAGGTAACACTCTTCTCTCTTGCTGCCAACACCAAATCCGGAAAATGGCACAGTAAAAAAGATGTTTAAATTTTTTAGGTAGAGATGCATTTTAACACAGGTAGGTACTGATACTTATGTTGATAGTCACTCTGTATCTGTTTAGATACAGAGTATTTTGTTGTAATTTTCATATATTAGTATTTCAGTAAAAAAAACAAAGCTAAGGAAAAATGGCTAAGAGCAGCACAGTTTTGCTTTGGCAACTCTGAGAGACTGTTAGATCACTTGAGACAACTCCTTGAGGCTTCTGGATTATCTGTCACATTGCAAACAAGTCATGGAACTTTCTATTTGTAAAGCATTTGGCAATCAATCATTAATTCAGCCTCACTATCCTGTTGAGGGATTATAACTCATTCTACAGATTAAACAGACAGATAAGTGGGTTGCCCAAGGACACAAAACAATTTGGCTTTTATTTATCTCTCTTATCACCCTCTTCAAACAATGAAGACACACAAGCCTTGTCCAACTCCAGCACCAACCCTGTTGCCCTGCAGACCAATTCTAACTCCTAAGAACAGCAGGGGAAGGCAATGCACGTAGTTCTCCGTTACTTGCTCTAAATATGCTCCTCTATGCAGAGTGTTTTCAAGACCAACAGTGATAATGACTGCATTGTGATAGGTCATCATGAACTCAAAGGGTAGTAAGAGCACCTAAGAAGCTACAGTGGCTCATAACTTAAAATGTCACCATCCCTAAGGAGACTGCTCCCCCAACACACACACACACACACACACACACACACACACACACACACACACACACACACACACACACACAAAACCGTGCCCCCCCCCCCAGTCTAGTTCTGCAGAGGTACAGCAAGTCACCTATTTACATGCCCTTCTTCATGCCCAAGCTGGGGCTGTCCAGCATCCAAATTGCTTAGTACAGGACCTAACACACAAAAGATTTATTCAGTGCATGGCTTCCCACTTGCAAATGAAAGAAACAGATATTCCTTTCACAAAGTAGTGGACTTAAGAGTTATCAGTTAGACTTTTAATTTTACACGTGGGTCAAAATGCACAGAGAATACCACTGACTATGTGCCACATAAAGTGAGTGGGAAGCCATGGGGGAGAAGAGCAGGACATGCTCTCTGCTTCAGGGAGCTCAGCCCGGAGGAGGGAACGGATAATTCCGGAACAGTTGGGCAAGTGCAAGGACAGAAGCTTTATTCCTTGGCCAGTGTTTTCACCACACTGTCCACTGGGTGTTCCTCCATCTGGGAAATAAGGACGGCATATCTACTTCCTGCAAATAAACTTATAGTGAAGACCGGCAAGCAAATGAGTGAGGAAAATGGGGTTCATCCCCCAAAGGCATTATGTAAGGTACTCACATACCCTGACGCCGACTCCAAGGACTCGCTAATGTTTCAGATACCAGTTCAACAAAAAAGAAAACAAACGAGGGATGGGCACAAAGCCAAGGAAAACCTCATGGGTTGACAGGAACTGGAGGAAACAGCTGGGGTGGGGGGGTAGGGGTGTTGGGTCCAGCGAGTTGGGCCGGCAAGGAGAATGCAGGGCAGGCAGTGGGGTGGGGGACGATGAAACCAAGAAGGAAGTTGGAGACAGCACCGAGGGAGGTCAGGCGGAGAGGACTGGGGCTCCCTCGGGGAGGGCAGGGCTCGGGCTGCGCGCTCTGGGCCGGGGCCAGGTGGTGCTAAGTTGGCGCGGGAGGAGGAAGCGGGCAGACCAGCGCCGAGGCCGACTGCTTGCCCGCAAAGCCACTCGCACCCGCAGGGAGGGAAAGCAAGCGCTCAGGTCCTCTGGCTGCACCCTCACGGCCACCGCGCCTCCCCGGAGTCCGAGCGCCAACCCGGGGCCAAGCCCCAGCGCGTACTCACCTCGGGTTGAAGTCCTGGAAAAGGCCCCTCAGGTTCATGGCGAAGAACTTCACGGCTGTGTCCGCCTCTTCCCCTCTTTCCCCGCGCCGCGCAGCCTGCGCTTTACAGCGGGTTCATGGTGCCAGCGCCAGCCGCGTCCCCGCCGCGGCCGCCTGGAGAAACCTGAGCCACTGCTTCCCGCCCCCCCCCGTCCTTCCAGGCTTCCGTACGTCAGCTGCGCATGCGCCCCAGCCCCGCCCTGAGCTCGCCGCGCCAGGGAAGCCCCGGACCCTGGTCCCCACACTACCCGCTGAACAGACAGCGGGGAGACCCGGACGAGGAGAAGAGGGGTTTGCGAGGAAGGAGGTGTTGAGCCGCGCGGAGATGCTGACTGGGTGAAGGCCTGCAAGAAGGGAGTGTACCAGCTAGAAGTCCAGCGGTGAGTTCTTCAGAAACACCTGTCACCTTGGCTTGGACTCCCAAGTGGAGATTTCCCTGAGAGAAAGCTGAGGGGTGAGCTGTACTGGCAAAGAATAAGACGTTACATTGTGGCGATCTCATCCCAGGCGTCACCTGTCAGAGCTACCAGTGATTTCACAGTTTGCATATCATTTTCCCTTCCAAGTCCATTCCAGCATGTCAAGATAAGCTAGCCATCCCAAACTGCAGTTACCAGACACCAAAATCATCTCCCTCCCAGTCCTCTTCCCCTCCTGGGTTCCTTCTCTTCGTTGGCAGGAGGCCTATTTAGGGAGATACCCAAACTGGAGAACCCATTCTCACTTTTCTAACCTAATTCAGACTCTTTAACTCCTGTCTAGACTTTGTGATCATCTCAGACTTGGCCTCTTCCTCCACTCCTGGCCATCCTACTTAGAAGTGCCAGGTTCATCTTACTTGGACAAGTCAACATCTTTGAGCCTCAGTTTTTCTCTTCTGCAAAATAGTGATGACAAAACTACTTCCTCAACTTGTCAGAAAGATTTAGCGAAAGCGTGCATAGCATGTTTCCTGTTGCACACTATGTGCTCCAAGATTTTCTAGCTGGTACTCTTTCAATTGCCAACTTCCTCAGGGATTCTCTTTGCTTTTGGAGTGCAAGAGCAGGACAACCTCACAGCAAGTGACCTAGTCTTCTGTCTTCACTTTCGGTGGATTTAAGTTTTTCATAAGGACAGCAGTACCTTAAACATGATTTCATTAGGAATAGTAGCCATACTTTGTTACAATAGCAGAGTTTCTTGAATGACAATTTTATGCTGGTTAACCCCAAGGGAAGCTTGAGAAGATCACAATTGTGAGAGTCATACTTTGCTGCGATGTATCACCTTTCTTCTGAGGACTTGAAAACATTTCACAAGTGGTAATTAGGCTTCCCAACACTCACTGGGGAGTGGATATTATTATATGAGCTGGTTTTAAGGATGAGTAACCTGAATCAAACTGAAAACATTGGGATCCTATCTCAGAAATTTTTGTCCTGTTCCCATGTCCATCCTCCAGGTGATGTCCAATGTGTAACCTGAGAAAGTTCTCAATGAACACTAAAATATAGAAGAGGAACTGAGGCATAGAGAAGCTCAGATAAGTGCCCAGGGCCACCTAGCTAGTGAAGGTGAAGGAACAAAGATGCAACTCAGTGTCTGGCCAAACCTGCAGTCCACAATGCTAGAAAGGAGAACCTGTCAGTGGTCTGGATGGCCAGCACCATCTTAATTACTGATGGTCTCACCCCAAGCAGACATCAAGAGGGGGGTATCTTGCCAATTCAAACACTTGAAATACGAGGCATTATCACTCTCTCAAGAGTTTCATAGACAGTGGCCAGAGTAGGCTATGTAGAGTCCAGATGCTACTTTTGGTTAGGTCTCAGGGAGTCTTTGGAGCTGAACTACTGCTCTGTGTGGCCACACATTCAATTTGAGCATTCCCTCCAGAGATAACTAGGCCATAGGCACTGTCTAGCCTGGATAATAAAACACTAATATACAAACAAATTGTCAGTGTATTCTTTTGCTCTGACAAGCCAAATCGTGAAGGAAAGCATATGAGCCTGTCCATGAAGACATATGGCAAAAAATGGACTATCCCAAGGCCTCAGATCACCAAACTTAATAGGTGGGTTCCTTCACTGCCTTAACTACACTAGAGGAGCCCTAGCCCTGTATTCTGCTAGTGCTATCATGGAACCAAAAGCTAGAAACTCCCAGTGCTCTCCTTCTAGAAAGCACAAACGATCCTTCTCCACCATGGATGGAGACATAAAGCTTCACTGGTCTCTCTAGACAGACCCCTGAGTGACCTTAGTACTGAGAAAAGACCTTGGGCCATACGCAAGATAATATTCCCCTTTTTTCCTTTAGCAAAGTTTGGTTTTTGTTTATTTTTGCTTCCCCTTGACTTGCCACCATATTCTAGGTACATCTCACAAGAGGTTTCCAATGTTCCCCACCCAAGGACAAAAAAAAAAGGTTCAGAAATGGATTGAAAAAAGCATAGTCCCTAAATACAGAAAGTGTATACATGTGGCTTTGGAGTGGACACATGTTAAAGTGTTCCAGAAGCATCAGTGACTATTGCCTTAAATTTGTGCCACCTTTCTGATAAGTTGGTGGCTTGCCCAGTACGTTATTCACATTGGCTCCAATGTGATGGTTTAGAGGACAGACTTCTGAAGAGCAGGGCCCTGAAGGAGAGAGTCCTGGTATATTCTGATCCTTTTAATAGAGAACCTGTGTTAAGGAAGGAAGTGACTGTGATCCATACCACCAGGGTTCTTCCCTGAGATGCAGCAGTACAGTGGAGAAAGTGTAGAATTAGAAGACTTGTACTGAACACCAGGCTTACTGCTGGCCCAGTGGGAGGAGGAGCATCCTGAGCAAGGCCAGTGGGCCTATGAGCTCCTGGGGCCAGGAAGTATAGAGATACCAGCTATCAAGACTGACTCAGCCTGAAATTCCCCACTCTTAAGTTCCCATAGTGCACACTCTGATTACTACCAGGTAGAGGATTTGTGTAGACCCCAGGACTTTATTAACTTGAAAAATGTAGCCTGCCTTTTCCCAAGAGAGCCCTTTATTTCTGGCAAATTTAGCCAGACTTGGCTAAATGTGGGCTTTCTGGTCCTGAGATCTCTCTGGGAGGTGGTTAGGTCTAGAGTCTGCACAAGCATTTGATAGATTACAGGGCTGGATTTGAGAATTTGGAGATCTTGAGCAGGATTTGGGAGGCCACTGAAAATACAGGAGGAGGCAGTATCTATGGTTCTGTTGGATCTGTAACTTCCACCTCATCTTCTTCCAGATCCCATAAGGAAATAGCTCCTCAGGGAAGCTTCTCTTGGGACTTGCAAACTGTATTTGCTGTGAGAGAAGAGGACAGTTACAAGGCCCCAGAGGCCCTCCTGTCGCCAGTCATGTTCCCTGGGAGAAGGTAGATCATCATCCCTCACAGAGCAAGGTTCCCACTGAAGGGAGCAGGGGCCACTTTCTCTCAGAAGGCAGAATGGAGGGGCTGTGCCTGGACCTGCAGAGCTACCACTGTGACTCTATGCTTTCCCTATGAACCTCTTCTGCTGCCAGGGCTTGCTGGAAGGTCTCCTAGGTAGACAGGGAGGCTCATGGGACCCCCTCTCTTCCAGGGGTCTGTACCTGCAAATCTCAAGTCAAGTGAGTGGGACAGACAGGAAGGAACGTGTAGCAGAGGTCACCAACCAGCTGCCTGTGCAACTTTCTTGTTCTCATCTTCATTCTGCCCTCATTTCTCAATCACTATTTTGTGGTGTTTTCTCCTTTTCTGCTTCAACATTGGCTTTCTGTCACATTCCTCTGGGACTCACTGCCCTAACTCTGATGTCCTTTCCTCTCCATGACTTCCCCTAAAGCACACTTTCAGTGTGGGCAGCCCATAACCTTTCATCCTTCAGTTGTCTTCATCCAACACTTGTTTTCAGAAGCATCTGCTTTGTGCCAGATACTGTGCAGGGGGCACTTAGAACACACAGAAATGAATAATCAAAACATAGCATTGTGCATGCTAAGCTTCCAGGACACGGGGACTTCTGAGCTGAGTGTGAAAGAACAAATAAGATTTCAGGCTGAGAAGAGAGGAAAGGAAATTCCAGACAGAGGGAGTAACACTTGTAAAGAGACTGAAGTCAGCAAGTGGAGGCAGGTAGACCTTTTGGGAGACAAATGTCTCCAAGCATCCTCACCTTCCCTGAGTCAGCGATTTTCATCCAGGCTGAGCAGCACTTGCTTAATGGCAGTCATGTGGCCAGGGGCATCTGACTGAGCCCCAGATTCTGGCCACAGGGCTGAACAGCTCCCAGACAGCAGATGGAGATTATCTCTGGTGTCTCTGAATCATCCTCATTTCAGACAGGTCTTCCAATCTGGACCATGTTAGCTCGTCATTAAATTGTTTTCTCTGAACTTAACCTTATAATAATACAGGATTTCAGCAAAGCCATGCTAGCTTCTGTGTGCAAACACAAGCACACAGGCATTTTAATACCAGTACATTGGCCACAATTTCCATTGTATCTATACTGGGATTCTATAATCTCCCAAACTGGTTTTTTTCTCCACCCCTTGGGAAGCTTGCTCTGCCTCGCCCTGGCTCACATGCAGCCATGGTTGCACTGTGCTATGTCTCTGGGCCCTGAAGACTCAGCTCCAGGGACTGATACTCCCTTCCATCTCCGAAAAGTTGGTCTACAATAGGTGCGCAAGGAGTGCTGTGAAATGAATAGGTACTCCCAGGCCCGCTGGAACAATGAGCTTTTCTTCCTAAGTTTCTGGTGGCTTGTAGACATTATCTGAGGACACCCACACCCCCTTTTTCCTGCTGGATTCTCTCAGGCCATTGACACACTGAGGCCCTTTTGGTCTTATTGTAGAACAACTTATACAGTGTCGGCACAGTTCTAAGATATGAAGTGAACCATCCACTTGATAACAAATTTTCAAGAGAAAAAAAAACTGTGTCAATTAATGTTCATGTGAATTACAAGACACATATTGATCCAGAAATATTAAAATGTAGGGAGGAAGGCACATCTTAGATGTTCAGTAATAATAACTCCTTTGTATTGACCACCTACTTTGAGCAAACTTGGATAGTCTTTGTTATAGGTTAAATTGTGACCTCCAAAAAGATACAGCATGCTGAAGCTCTTATCCTCAATACCTGTGAAAGTGACATTATTCGGTAATAAGGACTTTTCAGGTGTAATCATATTAAAATGTGATTATTAGAATGGGCTCTTAATCCAATATGACCATGTTCTTATGAGAAAAGAGAAATTCAGACACAGATAAAAAAAAAGCCACATGAAAATGAAGGCAGAGACTGTACTGTACTACTGTACTGTAGTTCCTTTAGAAATGGCTTACCAATTAAACATATTCTAGGTGCTTTTTGCCTCAGACAGAGAAT